CGGGGGTGAGGATGCAAAGTGAGGGGTCCCTGAGTGGAGATCCCCACCACTTCCTCCAGGGCAGGACTTCCACCAATGGCCAGGCTGCCCGCTCTTCCCTTTCTCTGCCAACCAGTCACTGCTGGCCTCCTGGCTCACACCAGAGGGATGGGGTAGGAGGCACAGGCGGCCAGACCACACATGTTCTTCCCACGCTCAATGAGGAAGTACCTGGGCAGAGAGAGTGAGTTGAGGCCTGGCTGGAGGCTTCCTCATCACAGACCTTTCTGGAATGTTTTGCTGCTCACCAAGATCTGCCTCCAGAGATTAGGCCCTCTGAATTTATTTATAAAACAGTAGCATTGGGCTTATTTTATCACCAGGAAATCACTGACCTGACTTGGTGAATAATTTCTCCTTCTGGAACTCTCCTTGGCCGCCAAATGAACTCCCTTCCTTATTCTATCCATACCTCACTTCTCCCCAGAATTTACCTCGGGCCTCTTCCTAGCCCTGCCTAGGCCCTCACATAGTTATTTAATCATCACTGGGACCCCCGAGGTAACAATTAAATCTCTCCTTTTCGGATGAGGACACGGAGTCTGACAGGAGAGACACAAGGTCACATCAAGATATGTACCTAGGCCACCTGATTCCAGCCCCCTTCTTCTAGAAGGAGGGGCTGTCAACCATCAGGGATAAACTTGTTGCCTTGATTTCTCACAAGTGGACCGTTCCAGACACTGGCTTAGTTCCAGCAGGTTCTGTGTTGTGAGCTGTTTTCCTAGCAGTGGTCACAGATCCTATGGAGCCAAATGGACTCCTGTTCCCGACACAGAATCGTTAGGATCTGGGGTCCAGGATAGGAGAGGGGTCGCTAGAGGGGTGCTGGTGGTGTGGAGGTTACATTCTCACGCTCACACCACCCCCCTCACACCACCCCCCACCCCCGGCCTGGGCTAGGGCTCCAAGGACCAGCTCTTTCTCTGAAGCTGTATATTTGAGGTGGAGGAGACTCCCTCCAGGGCCCCCAGACCTGAGCAGTCACGCCCCCCTCCCAGCACACGGGACCTGGGAGCTGCTTACCCGTTCATTCCCCACTGGGGACCCCAAGAGTTCTTCACGATCCAGTAGGGTATCCCATTTTCTTCTCCATACCCAACAGCCAGTACTGCATGGTTTACTTTATCTGGAGTTTTATGACAGGAAGTACTGGAAAATGAAAATAAAAAAGGTTTGAAAATATGGGAAGGATAAAAGTGATGACTCAATCACATCCACAGCGGTTCTCCGAGAGCTTTAGAGAAATGCTTCCCAAAGTGGGGACTGGGAAGCATTTAAGGTGGTGAATTAGCTCTCGTTTAGTCACAGTGCAAGCGAAGTATTCTCCTTAGTTCTTTTGGTTCTGCTCACCCCAAGAAGAGAGCCTTAGCGTGGTGCCGCCCCCGCTCTCACACCTGACACTTTCCGATGCCCCTCTCATAACAAGGACAGAGCAGCCCTCCTGCTGCCCATTCTGCAGGAAGAGTGTCCAGTTAGAGTTTCACATAGCATTGCTATACTGCCACTGTATTTATTTTTAAGATTACCTGCATTTATGGCAAGTATACAGGCTTTCCGTTTACAATGGTGACTCACTTCCATGAAGAAATTCAAGAGGACAGACAGCAGTGGCTGTGTATTTAATTCAGTTGATGTATAACTGAGTTACTGGCACGTGCCAGGCCTGGTGCAAGGTGCCGGGACACCAGCAGCGAGCAAAACTCTGCTCCTGTCCTGAGGAAGCTTCGTTTGGCAGGGAGCAGAGTGGCAAAGAGGCTCCTTCTATGCAGTGGACAGAGGGCAGTGACAGCAGGAGGCTGATGGGAGCCACGAGGAGGGGATCCAACCCAGCAGGGATGGTGTGTGGCAGGGTCAAGGAAGGCTTCCCTGAGAAGGCAGGGGACATGCATGAAACTACAAATCCTTCAGTGTGGCTGGGGCGGGGGCACAGGGTGAAACGGGGAGGAAAGGGGTGGTTCTGATGAGAGATGAGCTTGGAGAAAGAAGAAGGACCAGACCAGAGGGTACCCCCAGCCAAGCTAAGATGTTGGACAATGGAGAGAAACTGCACTATGTAAAAGTTGGTGTGGCAAGAGGAGCATTCCAGAAGGCTGACTCGGGCTGTGAGTGGAGGCTGGACTAGTGGTGGGAGCACAAGGACAAACCAGTAAGACAGCAGCTGCAGGAGACAGCAGTGGTGGGCTAGGGCAGAGACATGGGGAGGGAGCAGAGAGCACATTCCTGAGCAGTGTTAACGGGGCAGTGTCTGAAGACGAGGAGGAAACATGTAGGATCTGAGGTTTCTGTGGGCCATCGGGCTTGAGATGGCAGGGAGGCCCTTGGATCCATGGGTCTAATGCTCGGCAGACACCAGGCTGTTGGATGGAGACTTGCAAGTTCTCAGCAAACAGCTGGCCATGGAGTTCAAGGAGTGTCTGAGAAGAGGAAGAGGGCTGAGGACAAAGCCATGGAGAACACCAGCATTTTAGGAGTGGGCAGATGATGAGAAGACTGCGAAGGAGATGCTGGGCTGCTGGAAGTGGCTGGGGAGACAGCTGAACTCACTCATGTTGCAAAATAGGCAAGAGGCGTGGATGAGATGAACCCCATATCAGATGCTCAGGAGCTCGGGTTTTCTGAAGAACCCTGTGGTGAAGCTTTCACCAGCACAGGGTTCTGGTGCTGAGAGCAGCTACTTTCTCTTCCCTATTTCACATCTTCAAATTTTTGAACATGGGTTTTCGTAACCGGAGGCAGCTCTTCCGTTGAGGAAGAGTGAACTCTGGGCTCAAATTTTGGGCCTAGCCCTGACCAGCCATGTGACCTGGATCTGACCTCTCTCTCTCTCCTCTCGATGTCAGAGGCCATGGTTCCTGACCCTCAGGGCTGCAGGAGGATGAACTGCGGGAGTGTATAAGATGCCAACACACGTGGTAGGTATTAAGAAATGGTCAGGCCAGGAGTCCTGGCCGAGCCTGAGTCCCATGCCCTGCCGTGAGGAGGCCCACCCAGCCCCTCGCCATGCAGGCTGCTGGGACCCCGGCGCACCTGGAGTAGATGCCCTTTCTGTACATCATAAAGTCACCAGTCACCTCAAAGGCAAAGCTCACAGGGTTGTACAAGGCCACTGCCTCCACCATCGCCTCTTCGTCGTTCTGTGGATAGACAGACGGACAGATGAACATTTATCATCTCCACGCCCCACTTTCAAAATATGACCCTTTGCCCCAAGGTGTGGGATAGGTCGTGAGTGATGTAGATGTCCAGGAGGAAGGAAGAGAAGGCTGTTTTAGACCAAAAAGCAGCTACCAAGGGGCAGGCTGCCCCTCTTCACAGCAGAACTGGGCACTGGATGTTGGGGGTTGGTTTGGGGTCCCCCTACCCTCTTATGCCTGAATGACCAGGATCCTTTGGGTTTTTTATTTGGCTTACACGTCCCTCCTCCCAAACCTTGGCTCCCCTGTGACCTCCCTCCCCTTTGCTGGGCTCATCTGTTTCATCATCTCTGTTAACCTCCCTGCTCTGCTCTAAAGAATCCCGCACCCTTTGGGATAGGAACCATGGGTGCAGCACAGACCCACTCATTCAGTCACCCACAACGATTCACTGAGGTCCTCTCATGAGCCAGGGGCTCCAAGGGGTGCAAAGATGAATGTGACTCCCCCACCCCACCCCCAGGACCCCCTACACCGACAAAGCCAGTCTAAGGAGCTTTGGGTAGAACACAGGGGTTAGAAGTCCATGAGCAGATAAGGCCCAGATGGTGGTGCAAACGAGAAGAGCCAGCAAAGGGCTGTGTGCCCAAGGAGGACCCATCCCCTTCAGCTGGGGAAGGCAGGCAGGAGGAAGTCAGAGGCTTCCTGGAGCCTGCAGCTTTGGGAGGGAGCAGCGGAGACCAGGTGAGAGCAGCAGTTGGAACCACCTGGGGAGCTTTAAAAAATCCTGATGCCCAGGCTGCACCCCAGACCATTACATCAGTGTCTCTGTGGTGGGTCCCAGGCATCGGAAGTTTTTAAAGTATCCCAGTTGGGAAGCATTGGGTTAGAGTGAGCTAAGGAGGCCACTCCCCTGGCTGGAGACCTTAGGGAGTTGAAATGAGGGTGGAGCTGAGGCCAGGGCTCTGCTGAAGGGAAGGGAAAGCTGGAGGGGACAGGGCACCCAGCCCTCCTTTGGTCCCGCCTCCCTGGAGGGGTGGGCAGACGCCCAGCTGCAGAAAGTGAACAGCTGCCTGGTAAGCAAGCGGCTTCCTTCCCCATGCTCAGAAAAGGCCTGGTGAGCCCAAATGGGTCAGGGCAGATGGAGACAAGGAAGGCATGGGGCGAGCACTGCTGTGGGGCAGCTGTTCCCATGGCCACCCTGTGGCCCTGCCAAGGCGGGCTGGACGCCAGTTCTGGCCTGCTCTTCAGGGGCCCACAGGTGTCACGGGCAAGGCTCTCCTGGGACCAGGCAAAAGGGATACCTTTGAGCCCCCGATTCACCTCTTAGTTGGATACAAATGGCCCACCGCAGGTCAGGCCTTGGTGGGTATGTCTAAGAGAAAGGAGCTATTTTCTGAAGATAGATTCATGGTAGTCAGGAACATCCCTATTATAGGGTGTAGGTTCTGGAATAACATGATCTCAGTTCAAATCCAGCTTCCACTTCCTAACTCTGTGGCCTTGGGCAAGTTACTTCACCACTCTGAGCCTGTTTCCTCAGCTATAAAATGAAGATAATAATGACACTTATCTCCTAGGATTGTCTTGAGTCTAAAAAAGATAATACATTTTAAGTGGTTGTGTGGCAGCTGTAAGTACTCCATAAACTTAAACTGTCATTACTATCACTGAGAGCTTGGCACGTGCTTCAATTAAATGGTATGACACAGACATCGCTGGTGATTTACAGACATTTGTGGGCACTCATGCTCAGCCTCCTGCTCTTACATACCACACCTACACACAGGAGTGGAGATATTCTTTCACTCTTTACACACAGCCTCCCACACTTGCAAACACACACACGAGGGCTGTTCACACTTACCCCAGCTCTCTCTCAGAGAAACGGGGTAGGACTGCGCGTCCCCATCCACTTGAGGTTAGGCGTGACTGTGTAACTTGTTTTGGCTTTAAGAGCCAGACATAATTTACCACTTTCTTTCCTTCCGCCTGAGTCCTGGAGTGAAGCCAACAACACAGAGCACAGCCCTGCCTAAGCCGACGGACATGTCACATGAGTGAGACATAAACTTTGTTTTGAGCCATTCAGATTTTGGAGCTGTTTGTCACTGCAGCATAAGCTGGCTTATCCTGACTGACACAGGTTCATACTCAGTGAATTCACATTCAATCTCTCACACACATATGCTCACGTCACATACACACTCACACCCTCCTTTGCAGGATGGGGATTATTGCTTGCATTTTACAGATGAGAAAACTGAAACACAAGAATGAAGACTTGTGCAGACCCAGGTCAGAAGCAGAGTGTCTGACTGCTCGTCTCGAGCTCTCTCCCTCCAGTCTTCCACCATGCTGCCATCATGGTGACTGAGACTCAGTGATCATCAAACCTTTTTAATCAAAGTGATGCGCTGCCAGGAAAGGCTGCCTTGCTGTGCCCATTGGCCAGCTGACAGCAGTGGAGGCTAGCCTCCTTATCAGGACACATTCCCCATCCGAGAGAAGGATCCGTACTCACGAGTGTGATGTTGGCTACGTCCTTGACAAAAGCAATGGCCTTACTGGGCTGGAACTTGCAGTCACCATCCTGTTCAGGGTGGCAAAGGGCACGGAATACAGGTTAGGGATGCTTGGCCCCAGGCTGAGACTTCAGGCCTACCCCATGCTCTTTGATAGCATTTACGAAGCAAAAGCTACATGTCCCAGGGCTTGGGTGATGGGGTCACTTAAGAGAGAATTAGAGGCATCCTTGTTCTCAAGAAGCTCACAGTCTAGTGACAGGAGACAGTCCTGTGCTGGCTTTGGCCAAGGTGGGCTTACATGGCACTTAGTGGGAGCCCAAGAAGGGGCCTAATCTAGACCAAGGAAACTTGCCGAGAAATGGAGCCAAGTAAGAGCCTGCATGGCAGGGGAAGGGAAGGTTAGTCTCAGTCCAGGGAACTGCACTGACAAGAGGCAGGCATAGAGGTAGGTCACAAGGAGGGAAGGGCAAGCTGTTCTGAGATGGGAGAGAAGATGGGGTTGACAGGAAAGGCAGGACATGGTGTTTAGGAACCAGCAAGTGGTTCACTGGGGTTTTAACGACGGAGAGAGTAAACAGAGATAAGATGGTAAAGACTGGTTTGGGTGGGGGTGGGGCAGGCCTTGAAGCGCAGGCCAGAGTCAGGGCTTTATCTTGCAGGCCCTGGGGAGCCTTTGAAGAGTTCTGAACAAGGCAGCGTGTGGTCAGAACTGGGTCTGAGAGGCCACTCTGGCAGCCCTTGGGTGGAGGATGGCCCGAGGAGAGGCCACCCTCAGTGATATAGGATAGAGGGAGGCCAAGGTCTGAGTGGAGGCAGGGATACAGGATGGACCAAAGGAGCAGATGTGAGAAGGTCTATGATGGTCAGAAGGCTGACTGAAGTGAGCGTCCGGGTGGAGGGACCGCCCTCAGAACAGACCACTGGTGACCAACACGTTTTCAGGGAGGCTGGTGCTGCTCATCGCTGAGAGGGGAAATATAGGAGGAGCCACAGGTTTGGAGGAAAGGAGAGGTGCTTAGCCATGGACAGGCTGGGTTGAGATGATGGCAGGGGAGGCCCCTGGCAGGCCTTGGGCAAAGTGGGTGTGGGTCCTGGAGAGTGGTGTCAGCATGAGGCTGACTGCATGGCTGGAGATGCTGATGGACGGGAAGGGAGGAAGCCAGAGGATGGCGCTCTAGTGCACTCCCGGCGGGAGGAAGGAGGAGCCAGGAAGAAACAGAGCAGCACGGTGCGAGGTGTGGGAGATGGTGAGGAGAGAGTGATGGAGCTGCCACAGAGAGGGCGGGCAGAGGCCCCTGGGTTTGGTGAGAGCCGTGGGCTCAGGCACGCGGAGGAGGTGAAGGAATGAACTTGAAGAGTGTAGACAAGTCTGAGAATTCTGGCGGGTGGTGGCAGTCCTCAAAGGAGGCGAGGGCAGAAGGGACGTTTTCTGAGGCTGGGGTAGGAGCGCAGACGGGGAGTACTGCAGACCAAGAAGAGCTGAGGCTGCCCAGAATTACCTGGGCCTTGTAGGGGTAGGTGTCTTCACCCATGATGCCTTTGTTGTATCGGATGTACTCGAAGGCCTGGCTGGGGAGACCCCTGCAAGAAGCACACACAGATGTGCCCACCCGGGACTGGCCCCGATGCAGGTGGGGCCTGCAGGGGCTCGTTAGATGTTTGCCCTGGCAGGGCTGGAAGGCCTGGGTTGGGGCATGTCCGAGTGGCAGAGGAGGTCTCAAAGGGGCTAGCAATGTCACCCCATTTGCCTGGCCTCAGGATAAAGCTCAACAGACTCAGGAGAGACTACTGGCGTCCAAGGTCCAGCTACATGTGCTTCAGTGGGACAGCGACCCCTCGAAGCCAGGCCCCCTCTGTCAGGAAAAGCGGGCAATCCCACAGGACGGCTGATGGGATCAGCCCAGCTCACCATCATCGCCACAGCCCTGCCCACTGGGCCCCCACCCGGGCAGGCTCTGACTGGACGGCCTGACCCCGCATATCAACCCTGTGTGCTAGAGGCTGTTATTTCTTGAGGCTCAAACAGGCTGAACAACTTGGCCCGAGCCACATAGCTATAACCAGGATCTGGTTCCAAAGGTGGATCTTTTTCTGCATCGTGCTGCCTACCAGAGCAAACAAAAACCCAACAGCTCTCCAGCTGCAACTCCCCAGCAATCCCCACCCCGTCCCTTGTTTTTTTCTCCATAGCATTTGTCACCACCTGACCTATGGCACATTTGTTTATGAGAACATCAGCTCCTTGTGTTCTGTTGGCTGCCGTATCCCCAGTGCCTAGATACGTAGCAGGTGCTTAGTCATATTTGTTGAATGGATAAAAAAATGAAGTAAACCAAAGCAAACAGACCCCTTTGAAAAATGGTGGGGGCCCAGAGTGCCCTTTCAGACTCTTGTTATGGGCGGTGTTTGTAAGTTGCAGAGAGGAAAGAGACCAAAAATGAGGTGAGAGGTGAGACTGAACACAATGGTGGGTCAGTAACTAGGCCGTGACTTCACCCCTGACTCCTAAGGACTCGGCCCAAGCAGGTGGGGCATGAGGCCTTCCCAGGCCCATGATGCCACAGGAGGCGGGGCAAGGGCCCTGGGGCTGGGGTTGCGGCCGGGAGGTAGGTGAGGGGAGGCCAGGCTGGGGGCTTGCTCCAGGGGAGCACGAGGGGCCTGGCTTTACGCATGTATATGTCAGGAAAGCTGGCAATCCTGCAGAAACATCTCAGAGCACTGCACATGTGGAGAAAGAGACGAGGGCTAGAGACGCTGTAGAAATGTTAGCAAGTCCCTAACAACCTGTTTTAACAATAGGCCAGGAAAGCAGGCCCAGAAAAGATACAGCCTTTATGCACAAACACTTAGAGACATTTATAGAGAAGTTCCTTCCTACGGCCTGCCAAGCTGAGGCAGTTAGAACTTTAGAGTTTGTAGAAAGGCCAACCCAACATCTGCATGTGGATCTTGGTTTTGGAAGATGATGTGTTTCTCACTCTATTAATTCTTTTGGCCACTCACCTAGAGGCCTTGGTGGCTGATGAGGCCAACCAACCGTGCTGTGGGGTGAGAGCTGGGTGTCACTATGGAAAGAGGATGGATTTTAGAACCAGACATCCTGGGCTTGGATTACAGCTCTGCCAGTTCTGGCTGAGGGACCTTGGGCATCTGAGGTGACCTTCCTCCTCCGTAAGATGGGGACGATTGTGCTGCCACCCAGGGCACTGTACGACGTTATGTCTGTGGCTGTGCCTGGCACATACTAGACCCAACAGACATGATCAATGGGAAATGAGGAGGGGCTTTGGGCCCCTCCCAGTCAGGTACGTACCCTTGGCAGCCGTGATTGTTGAAGTTCTGGGCGCAGTCCACCAGCTGCTGCTCTGCCTGGAGGAATGAACACAAACCCAGGGAGCTGAAAGCTGAGAGCCCCTGGAGGCTTTGGCACCAGGCGCGGAGCCTCCCTCGCTGATCCACACCCGTGGCCCCATCAGCTCTGGATCAAGATGACCACATTATAAGCCCCCCAAGGGAGGGACCATCTCATATGTTCTGAAGTCCCAGCCCAGCAGCACATGTCAGGAGGGCTCAGCAATGACCTGGCAACCAAGCAGGCAGGTGAGAGGGCACAGGTGGGCCCTGCTTGTCAGAGCACCGCCCTGAAGGTGTGCACATCCATGTGGTTTTGGGTCCTGTGGTGGCATATGGGAGACGGTGGGGACAGGCCTAGCCAGAGACCTTGCTCCACCTTTCCTCAACCCGGGTCCTCACGGCCCTCGCCAACCTCGCCCTCTACTCTCCCTCGTCCCCACACAGGAGGCAGGGGCTGGGCGCTTCCTTCAGAGGCTGTCACCCCTCCCTCTGGGGGCTCGGGGGTTGAATACAAAGGTCCCTGGCTCTTCCCTCCATGAAGATGAGGGAAGCAGCCTGGGAAGGAGCACAGCTCCTAGAGGGCTGCCTCCCAGGCATGCTCTGCTTTCTGAAGGCCCCAGGTTCCCAAACTGAGGAACACCCAGATCCCCTCAGGAATGAGCCCTTGGGCTGTTTCCTCAATGAGCCTCATTCCTTTCTAGGAAAAGCCTCAACTGAGATTCACATGCCAAACATTCACAAGGCTGGGACGCCTCAAGTCCAGCTGAAGTGGTTAGCTGAAGTCCTGAAGGAGCCCAAAAGCCCAGGCCTGGCCCTCCCTGTCAGGCCGTGATCTCTGCAGGAGATGACCACGCCCCCGCCCTGTGGCTGATGGCTTACCAAAGAGAGCAGCTTCCCAGTTGCGATGGCGACCGCAGACTCCAGGGCCCCTGTGGTGGAGAAGGTCCAGCAACTGCCACAGCCACCCTAGAGAGGCCACGGAGCGGGGAGTTGGTAATCGGGACACCTCGAGGCAGCCCCAGCGAGAACCCCCGGGCTCCCGAGGCCTTTAGTTTACAAAGCCCTGATCCACATCTGTCCACTCTGACCCTCACAAGCCCTGCGAGGCCAGCACCCTTCTCCCCATGTTACCGATGAGGTGACCGAGGCCTGCACAGGAGCAGGAGCAGCTGCCACTGACCGGCACCTGTGGACTCTGGATCCTGGCCTCTCACTGACCAATCCCTACCGTCCTTCGAGGGCTGGAGTCCCTCTTGACCCCATTCTATGGTTTTCTAGATCTCCTTCTACTTCTGATTCTTATGTGGGCTCCTCTTCTTCCCACTGTTTCCCAGCAGAACGACTCACCAAAGTCTTGTTTCTAGAAGCTTCTCTCTCACTTTTCCACCTCCCATCTCATTCCACTCATAGTCCTAACCGTTAAACGCACAACTCCCCAAACCCTACCTCAGCCCTGACCTCCACCCAGATCCAGACATCCTTGTCTTCCAGGTGACCCCACCTGGACACCCCAGACACCTCAGCCTCTGCTGGTCCTGTCCCATCCATCCATCTCACCACCTTCTGCCACAATCATTGCCGCTGCCTGGCCTCCTTATTCACAGCACCTCAGGGTAATGTGAGGGCTAGGAGTTGGGCACCAGAGCCCACCTGGTTCAAATCATAGCTCTGCCACACACCAGCTGTATGACCAGAGCAAGTGACCTCCCCTCTCTAAACCTCAGTTTCGTCATCTGTAAAACGGGAAGAACAGTGCCGTTAGAGGGGCAGATAAGATCAAGCAGTTACCCCATGGGCTCGGTACTGTGTTGCTATTACTGATTTTTAGGCCTCACCTGTCTCTTTTCCTCCCCTCTCCGGTTCAATCTTTCATATTCTACTTCTAAAATGTCTCTGAAGATTCCCTTCTTTATTGCCCTAATTTGCTCCTTATTGCTTGTCTCCTTGGAAAGGACCCTCAAGCTGGCCTCCCCTCTAGTCTCTTCTTCTCAAATCCTTCCCTCAACAGGGAGGAGAGGACCTAGTCAGAGGGTCTCCGGGCTGGTCAAGGAGGTGGGTTTGACCAGTGCTGAAGGTGGAGAGCCGGGCTAAGCCACGAGCACTGGACTTGGAGCAGAGACCTGGTTTGGAGTCCCGTCTGCCACCTGCTTCCCTTGGGCAAGCCCCCTTCCCTCGGTTTCCTCCTCTGTAAAGTGAGAAACCCTCAAGGGGCTGCTGAGGGTTAGTGTTAGGTCCTGTCACTCTATCTGTAACCGCACAGTGGCCACAGCGAGATACCACCCACTCCTTGAGACGAACGCCTTGTCGTGGCCCCTTCGCCCAGGTGGCTTAGTCCTGCCTGATGGCCTGGGAACAGTTAACATGAGGACCTGGCACATTCCTGGTGGACCTCCCCTTCCCACCTGCCCAAATAGTGAGCAGGTTCAGGCTTCCACACTTAACATTCGTTGCTTCAAATTGTCATAGGATCCTCAGATGGTCTAAAAGCTGCTTTTGGGTCATGGAGGAAAAGGCTGGCTCTTGGGTGCTGGTTTAAATGTCCAGATCAGTTAGCAGGCTCCAGGAACCCATAGAGCCTGGGAGGTAAGCTGTGCCACATGGTTTTAAAGAAAAGGAGAAAGTTTCTCATGGAGAGTTTCAGTGGAAATTCAAGTGTTTCCAGGAAGGAAACCTTCACCTTGTATTTCTTCGGATTGAGAGGTCGGCATCTTTCTGAAGAAGGCCACTGCACTGTCCCTTCTAGGGCAAGGACCACGGTAGGCAGAGGGGACAGACAGCAGGGGGGAGGGTCCAGACTCTCCAGAACAGAGCATGTGCGGGGACCCCCCAGCCAGCGGCCAGTCGCCAGTTCTGCGAGTACTGGGAAGGTACCGCCACTCGCCTTGCTAGGCACACTGTGCCCTGCAGGGGGCGCTCTTCCCCACAGAGAGGGCCACTGAGAGGCCAGCCTCCTGCTCAGGGCCAGAGCATGTCTGAAATGCTGGGTTTCACTTTGTGCCCTGACCGCCTGCAACTACCTAGAGGGAAGCAGCCAGCCAGGGAGGGGCTGGACCCTGGTGCCTCTCGGGGTGGATGGAAGATGGGAAGACGCATGGGCGGCAGGAATGGGGTCCTGGTGCCCAACTTCTGAATGGTGTCCAACCTCTGAACATGATGTTTTGGTGACTCCGTAAGAGAGACCTAGGGCCAGTGGGGAACTCTGGGTAGTGTGTGTAGGGGGGTGAATGGGTAAACTTCAGCCCAATAAAGAAGAACTTTCTCATCTTCCAGAGCAGCCTGTAGAAATAATGATCTCCCTGCCTTTCAGAGGAAGGCAGCTAGAGAGATGATAACAAAATAATAGAGTTAGGGATACACTTGCTATGGTTTTGGGGTTCTTTTGAGTTTTTCTTCCTGGTATACTGTCTGAGAATGTGGCTACTTTTTGGGGAAAGGTTGGGGATTGCCATGCATACCTGATTTTTCACTGGTGAGACAAAATTTCCTTTTTTCCGCCAGTCCACAAAGGGTGGGTAGGGACCAGTACCCCGAAGGTAGTTAGCTTTGGTAGCTGAGCAATTCTGGAACAACCAAATACAATTTTCTCAGTGGGGTGGGGGGGAACCTTATTGACAGAAAAAACATGTAATTAAAATGGAATCGCCAAGAGGGAATGAGAAAGATTGTAGCTGTCTGAACCATCTTACCCCTGTCAGTTCCAAACGCTAAATGACATGTCCCTTTGAGAGCCCAGGTGAGGGAGTTAGGACACGGCAGCCAGATTTAGCAAGTAAAAATAAGTTTACCCAGTTAAATTTGAATTTCAGATAAATGATGAATAATTTTATAGTGTATGTATGCTCTGTACAATATTTAGGATATACTTATGCAAAAATATTATTTGTTGTTTATCTGAAATTCAATTTTAACTGGGCATCTGTATTTTATCTGACGACCCTAGGTTAGGGGTCAACATGGTTGAGGCCAGGAGTGTGGACTGAGGAACTGTGCGGAGCTGACTTCTCTGCCTCCCCCAAGAATCTGGGGACACTGCCAGCTGCAGCTGGCGTGGGGTTCAATCTGGCTGAAAGCAGGGCAGGCTATGAGCTTATTCCAAAGGCTTGAGTCAAAAGATGCAGATTTGGTCACAATAAATAACACCCACCTGAGGCTCTGACCAAAGATACTTGCGTTCTAATTCAGCAAAGTTCATGTCTGAAAATTGGTTCAGTCCCACTGAAAAAGAGAAGGGAAAAACAACAAAAAAAGACGAGCTCAGTAAATCACTAATAAAGGAACAGAAAAAATAATGAAACCCTATGTTTACTTGTGTCCTATGTACAGCCGCTGCAACTTGGCTCCTTTACATTTTTAAATGTAACATAATTCAATCTACCAAGGTCAACCCTCACTGCGCTTCCCAACTGCCTGGAAAGCTTTTCAACAGTTCATCTGTCTGGTCTGCACCCAGAGATGCAGATGCAGTGGGTCTGGGGTGGGGCCTGGGCACCCATTTTTTCAGATACTCCACTGGAGTCTGGTGGACGTCCAGGTAAGGAAGCACTACAGCTGCGCCTCATCCTGCTAGGGAAGTGCCTTCCCACCTGCTGCCTCATCCATGACAAATGAGGGGAGCATTAGTATCCCCACTTTATAGTTGAGTCAAACTTCAGAGATGTTAGCTCCCCCCAAGGTCACACAGCTAGCGCCGGGCAGAAATGCGATTCAAACCCAGGGTTCCTTCCAGCCCATGCTTGTTGCCCATATTACCAACTTAGCTGGCACTGCCAACATTTCTGAGTCCTCACTATGTATGCTGTGCGTGTTTCCAGTGAAACTGACCCGAGTGAAGGCAGATGTCCCTAAAGGCTGCTCATGAGTGCAGAGCACATCTCTGAAGAGGCTCTGCCAAGCGCAGAGCTCAGCATCCGGGCTGGACCCTCGGATGGCAGGACCGGGGCAGGGGCTTCTATATAGTCTCCTGGATACTTCACATCCACTCAGAGGCGTACCAGCATTGTCCTAAATTTACCCCCCTTGAGCCTCACAGAATAATAGCAGAGGCAGAATCTGAGGTTGGCCAGGACAGCTTCAGAGCCTGGGTTTCTGTTCCCTCCACCGTAGGCCCCTAGTGGGCCCTTTAATTAGCAGGGGGCACTAATTGATTTCTTTCCAGATCTGAGATGCTCCTCTTCCCGAGGGCCTAGAAGCCCACGGGAAAGGCGTCCCCGCGGTACTTTTGAATGTGTGGTTCCCAGCGTTGTGGGCACTGATCCTCCTCCAGTTGCTGACGAACGTCTGCAGCCGGTGGGGGTACTCCTCCACGCTGTATTTCTTCTGGTGCTAAAACAGAACACATCAGCAATATGTCATGGAAACAGGATGCAGCTCACCAGAGCGAGACAGTCTTGTTTTCTAAGAGGAAGGGTGGAGGTTTTCTTCCTGACAGGATTCTCAGGCCAAATCTGTGTTGGTGGGTGGGACACCATCCCGGGTCTCCGCTGTCAAAGCTGGGAAGTTACAAAGCACAATGCCTGCCTCCAGGGACCTGTGGCCAGAAGGAAGCCCATGCAGCTGCCTGAAAGTCAGCCAACGAACATTCCGAGAGGCCCTGCTGAAGAGACTGGCCAAGCGCAGGTCCCCCCTGGACACCACAGCTGGGGCTGGGTCAAGTTTATGGCAAAAATCACCACTTTTCAAAAGCACGTGGACTAGCGTTCTCCAACTGAGTTTGTAGCTGGCACACATTGTGATTTGAATACATAATATGAAAATGAATCCCAGTCTTTGAAAGGCAGCCAGCTGACTTCATCACTGGGGACCACTGTGTGGAAGGAGTTTACTTAACTGAATCTTTCCCAGTGTTTGGCCAATTCAGGAAAGGCCCAGGGGGCAGAGTTGGAAAATTCGTCTTCATTGTCTCCAATCTGGCACAGTTTGGTTTGATAACAGGAAACTCAGGGAAACGAAAAACTTCAGAAAGAAGAAGTTGGGCACTGACCTGCAGCATCCATGACTTAAAGTGAAACTTCTCTGCAAAAAGAAAAAAAAATTAGGCCTGGGTGCCTCGTGGTAAAGTTGAGTCTACAGCCAAAGTAGGGCACCTTAGAACTGATTTGCATTTTTAGGAAACTGGGCTAACTTTAAAGCACCCAAAATGGTGTTATCTAGGGTAGAATGCAAAAAGAAACCGAAACTCACACTGCTTTGGTACCTTTGAAAAACTATATGTCATTAACCTATGGTGTTAAAAGTCAGCATAGTGGTCATCCTTAGTGGGGGACCAGAGGGGGCTTCTAGGGTACTGGTAATGTTCTATTTCTTTATCTGGGTGCTGGTTACATGAGCGTGTTTATATTGTGGAAATTCATTGAAATGCATATTTAATGATTTGTGCATTTTTTTGTATGTTGTTATATTTCAATAAGAAGTTAATTAGAAAACCTATATACCCCAAGGATCAGCAAATTTTTTCTTAAAGGGACAGACAGTAAATATCTTAGACTTTGAAGTCTCTATGGTCTCTGTCACAACTACTCAACTCTGCCATTGTAGTGTGAAAATGAATGGGTGTGACTGTATTTCAATAAAACTTTATTTACAAAAACTGGCTGCCCAGTTGTTTGTAGACCCCTGATATACCTCCCCTTGTACATTTTTAAGTTATCTAAAAATTTCATTTTAAATTTAAATAGCCGCAAAGGATATATTCCAGTTTATTGGATATATCGATATTTTAAAATAGTCTGTTACATCATTCTTTTAAAGCTAGCCAATGGAATCTATACCATCAGGACTTGATACCCACCATCAATAATGTGAACAAGCTCTTCTATAAAAATTGGGTATTTTACATACAGCAGTCCCCCTTTATTCACAATTTTGCTTTCTATGGTTTCAGTTACCCGCAGTCAACAGCGGTCCAAAAATATTAAATGGGAAATTCCAGAAATAAACATAAGTTTTAAATTGTGCGCCATTCTGAGTCATGTGATGAAATCTCTCACCATCCTGCTCTATCCTGCCCAGGACACAAACCATCCCTTTGTCCAGCATATCCATGCTGTTTACACTATCCACTGTTAGCTACTCAGTAGCCGCCTTGGTTATCAGATCGACTGTTGTGACATCGCAGTGCCTGTGTTCAGGTAACCCTTATTTTTCTTAATAATGGCCCCAAAGCGCAAGCATAGTGATGCTGGCAATTCAGAGACCAAAGAGAAGTCGTCAAGTGCTTCCTCTAAGTGAAAAGGTGAAAGTTCTTGACTTAATAAGGAAAGAAAAAAAATCACAGGGCCAGCCAGGTGGCGTAGCAGTTAAGTTGGTGCGTTCTGCTTTGGCGGCCCGGGGTTCCCTAGTTCGGATCCTGGGCACAGACCTACTCACCACTCATCAAGCCATGCTGAGGCGGCGGCCCACATAGAAGAACTAGAAAGACCTACAACTAGGATATACAACTATGCCCTGGGGCTTTGGGGAGAAAAAAGAAAAAGAGGAAGATTGGCAACAGATGTTAGTGCAGGGCCAACCTTCCTCAAAAAAAAAAAAAAATCATATGCTGAGTGAGGTTGCTAAGATCTATGGTAACTTTTATTACAGTATATTGTTATAATTGTTCTATTTTATTATTATTTTTGTTAATCTCTTACTGTGCCTAATTTATAAATTAAACGTTATCAGAGGAATGTATGTATAAAAGAAAACATAGTATATGTAGGATTTGGTAGTATCCGTGGTTTCAGGCATCCACTGGGGGTCTTGGAACATATCCCCGTGGATAAGGGGGGACCACTGTAGTTTATTTTTCTCCTTGAACCCCCATCTCTATCCCTACCTCACAGAATTTTATCCTAAGGGAGCATGTATTTATACGTGATTGCCCTAACATCTTTTTATGTGACAAGAACAAAAAGTATAAACTTAAATTATTTTTACTTCCTGTGACCAACATATCTCTGATATTATAAAAATTTATTCTGGATTAAGTAATCATCATCATTAATACCTCAACTGATTAAAACATTTCAAATATATTACACATTATGAAAAGTAATTGTTAAACATAAAAAGTAAACTTGTATTGGAAATCCATCTTTTAATTAGATAAATAGGATTTTATTAACAATTCCCCTCCATGGATTTATATATTTATGGATGAATATTACCTATTTTTTGAATGGGTCAGCATTAATTCTGATCTTTGTTTTTTTATAAGTCAAAGGGCAGAGAAATCCTGCTCAAATAAGCAGGATTGCTTACTGCTTCTGAGAACGGAAGGCAATTTTTAGAGCCATGTCACTCAACTCCTTGCACTCCCTCCTATGCCCCAAATCACAGGGTGAGGTATTGCTCAACATTATTTCTAAGATCCCATCAGCTGATTCCTCAGTGAAGTCCTCTCTCCTTCAGTTTCAGTTTCCTTTAGGACCTGACAACAGACTTGAAGAGGATTTGTTACCATTCGTCTTTCTGTCTGCTGCCTCGGATGTGTTTATACCCATGGGTTCAGAATCAGGACGAATGAGAGGAGGGTCCCCACTTCCTAGGTGCTTTCTCCTGGCAGCTCAGTTTTAGCCAAGAGGACATTTCGAAGGAAAGGGTGTGGAAACTGATTCCCTACCTGTGTCTGTATCACTTGGAATTTCTTTCTTTTCTTCCACGGATCCGCACCCCCCCCCCCCCCCCCCGTTTGAAGACTGCTGCTGTACAGAATTTAGACCTCCCTTTGTGGGTCACAAAAGTTTCTGTTCCAAAAACCAAGCAATAGCCATTTTTCCTCGGGGAAAGACATGCACATTTCCCCAATACATGTTTCAGAGGATTGCAAATCCTGCCGCAGCTTCAGAGGAAGCTGAGGGCTCCCTGATGGCTTCAGAGGAAGACAGACCTCGTCTCAGGACCAGGGTTTGAGGCAGGACGGAGTTTAGGACAACTGACTAGTGTTTGCCTCCGGGAGGTTTGAGAAGCAACAGGCAGGTGTGAAAACCCTTGACTACTCA